GCACCTTCCTGGTGCTGCCATTTTTGTAGGATCTTCAGGGCAAAAAAAGACTAGAATTGTTTTTATCCTAAGACAAGCCCATGTCTAGTACGTACTAGATGGCAAACTTGACATGAATTGTTGGGGGAAAAAAATGACAAAGACTGTTTGCTCCTGCTCTCAGTGTGGTCCCTGGCCAGTGTGGGTGCTTGGTGGAAAAGTATGAGATGGAGTCTCTGCTTTGGATTTACAGGCAGGACACAGAGGCCCTGGAGGAAGAAACAGAACGTATCTCTTAGGGCTGCACTGAACCCGAAAGAAAATATGGCTAATTCGTAGATAATGATATCACATTAGTTCTCAGCAGCACAGAGAGCCCTTGCGCACACACTCTGCTCCTGATACTGGACGGTGGCTCTGATTATCCCCATTGTAGATGAAGAGACTGAGGATGGAAAAATCAGTGCTTTCGCTGGGACACCCAGCCCAGAAACGGCAGAACCGGGCCTGGCGCCTGTCCCTCAGGCTCTCCCAGGGCTCTCTTCTTCCAAACATGACAATCACGCGTTCCGTCCAACACCCCTTTCAACTCCTCTTCCTCCACTCAGCCGGCCACATCCCGGCAGGAATGAGGGGCCACTCGGGGACTAGCCATGTGCTCCCTGTGTTTCCCAGACGCCCTTGCAGCTTGTGTGGGGCCGCATGACTTGATCTGGCCAGTGGGCTGAGGCCCCTTCTGGGCTGGAGCACTGAAGGACTGAACCCAGCTCTGTCTCTTTGTCTCTCTGTCTCTCTCTCTGTCTCTCTCTCGCCTCTGCCACGGGCACCTGGAAGACGCATTCGGGCTGGCGGAGGTGTGCTATGAAAACAGCCTGGATCCCTGAATCCCTGCTCTGGGAAGCCACAGCGCTGGCTTTGTGTAAATGTGCACATTTTGTGTGTCACTGGGCTGAGATTGGGCACTTTGCCCTTCCAGATGAATCCGTGGCCTGCTCCGCACACACAGGTGCTCACCTAATCTGTCCTGCTCTCCTCTCTATGAAGATTGGTCTCATACCTGTATCCTCACTGGGGCTCCTTGACGTCAGGCACCAGCTCTCATACTTATTCGAATGTTTTAGAGCACGACCCCAGCTCTGGGCTTATCGTAGGTGCACGGTTAGTACCCGCTAAAATAGATGTGAACTGAGCTCCAGTGGTGGCTCTTGAGGATGGCTGGGGTGACCTCTGAGGGTGCAGCCTCCCCATTGACTCACAGAAATGGCTCGTGGCCTGCTCCTCACCTCCTACAAACCATTCGTAGCACCCTCCTCCCCAGACCACCCATCTCCACAGGAGAGAGCAGGCCAGCCCAGGCCGGTCGCAGCTTAGACCCGGCCAAGACTAGCGCCATCCTGGGCTTCCTCACTCCGCCAACAGAGAGAGATGGTTCCAGAGCAGAGCCCAGGTTCAACTGAACACAGTGATTTGACTCCTCAGCTAGCATTCCCAGTGAAGCCTTTGGTTTTGTTTTATTATTATTATTTTTTAAATGTTTATTCATTTTTGAGAGACAGACCACAAGCAGGGGAGGGGCAGAGAGAGAGGGAGACACAGAATCCGAAGCAGGCTCCAGGCTCCGAGCTGTCAGCACAGAGCCCGACACGGGGCTCAAATTCACAAAACCGTGAGATCATGACCTGAGCCGAAGTCAGATGCTTACTGACTCCCAGGCGCCCTCCCCACCCCAGTATATCTTCTTATCCTGCTTTATCTTTGTTCACAGCACTGTTTGATGTTGTATGTATTGTATTACATGCATGTTTAACGCTTTACGATATACCTGTTTGTTGGTTTGGCTGTGGGCTGGCACTTCGAGCAGAGACAAAGCTCCGAGACAGCAGGAACTGGGGGCTCTGACTGCTGCCACGTCCCTGGTATCTAGAATAGTGCCCAGCACACAGTGGGCACTCGACAAATATTCCTTGGCTGAATCAATGTTGAGTGACTACTTAGCTTTCAACTAAAATATATGCAATTCAAGTTTCAGGTGAATTCAGTTTGCCCCAAGAAAAGTGCTTGCTTTGCACTGGTGAAAAGAAGGTGTGGTCTCATCTTTATCCTCCCCACACCCCCTCCCCCCCAGAGGTAAATGTAAAACCTTGCTTCTTGGAGTCCTGGGGACAGAGACAGCTGTCCCCACCGTCCTAGTGGTGGCCTGCAGTTACTGAAGGCTAGATTTGTGCCAGGCTCTTTGTGCCAAGGAATTGATGTTGCCTCTAAGGTAAGGGCTGTTATTATCCCATTCTACAGATGAGGAAATGAAGGCCCAAGGAGGGCCTCACAGCTCGAGAGTAGCAAAGCAGGAGCCAGGTCTGCCTAATTGTACACTCCTTGAGTTGAGCCCTGAGCTCCCATGGGAGATGGCTGCTTCGAAAGAGCAGTTTTCACGGTTTCTTTCCTCCAAGTGAAGCTACGTCCTGAGACCCACGTCCCGTTGGCCAGCTTGAGACTGTCGGACTATCCCTGCCAGGAGGCTGGCTCTGGGGACCAGGCTGCCTTGTCCCATCAGGGCCTGGAATCTTTGCTGCATCTGGGCTTTGCATCATCAGCACCAGATCTTTTAATGACACGCTGCAGCCAGGGAAATTACAGTGCCCGGGAGACTTGTCCCAGAGGCCCTGCCCAGGGTGATTCCAGAGCAGGAGAGCATGCTGGGAATAACAAGAAAGACAGGGTCAGGCTGCCAGCCTTAGGTAATGGAATGCCATGTGCCGGGAATGGGGAAAGGGGGTGGATACTTTTATTTGATTTATGCAGACTTCTGTTTTCAAACTTTAAAAAGACTGAAAACCCCAAAACAAAAAGTGAAAGCCATCCTCAATGTCATCCTTTAAAGTTATGCCTTCCAGGGGCGCCTGGGTGGCTCGGTCGGTTAAGCATCCGACTTCAGCTCAGGTCATGATCTCACAGTTTGTGAGTTCGAGCCCCACATCGGGCTCTGTGCACTCATCATGGAGTCTGCTTTGGATCCTCTGTCTCCTTCTCTATTCCCATGCCGCCGCCCCCCGCTCAAAAAATAAACATTAAAAAAATATAAAGTTATGCCTTCCAGAGCCACTCCTAGAGGCTATGGAGGCTTTAATGTGTCTCCTTTCTAAATTTGGCCTCTGATTCTATATACACACACGTATACGGTTTTCATGAACGAAGCCATGTTATGCATTTTGGCTTGCAAGCTGTTCGTGTCACTTAATAATACATCCCAGATAGTTCTGTAGACCATTCATTTTCATGTCTAGTATTGGAGCTGAGTTTAAAAGATGCTGGTGTCCACTGAAAAGATATATCATTTGATACTGATGGGGGGACAGTGTGGGGCAACTGGAACCCTCTTGTGAGGATGGTGTGGGGTGTAAAATGGTTTTAGTAATTTTTGAAAACTGGCCATATTCACTAAAGCTAAAGATAACTGTACCTGTACCAGAAACATACATGTATTCACCAAGAGTTACATTCAAGGATATGCACAGCGGAACTATTCAAGTAGCCAAAACAATGGAAACAGTGTCCATCAAAAGTAGAGTGGATTTTTTGTTTTAAGTGGTAGGGCCCCCGGGTGGCTTAGTCCGTTGAGCATCTGACTCGGTTTTGGCTCCGGTCATGATCTCACGGTTTGTGGGTTCGAGCCCCATGTCAGGCTCTGTGCTGACAGTGTGGCACCTGCTTGGGATCCTCTGTCTCTCTGCCCCTCCCCTGCTTTCTTGCTTTCTCTCTTTCAAAATAAATTCAAAAGCTTAAAAATTTTTTCTTTAAAAATTAAAAAAGTAAAACATTACACAGTGGACAGCACACATTAGTGAGAACAAAGGACTACAGTTACGCACAACAGAATGATTCTCACAGGTGTGACCCTGAGCTGAAGATGCCAGACACAAAAACGGGCACTGGTGACTCCATTTGTATGAAGTTCCATTTGTATCAGGTTCATTGTCGGTAGATCAAGCGCATCTACTGGATCAAGCGCATCTACTGGTGTTAGACGTCAGAAGGGGAGCAGAGAGCGCCTGGAGGCTGATGAAGTGCTGCTTAATCTAGGTGCTGTTTGCACGGGATGTTCAGTTGGTGGAATTCATTGAGCTGTACACTTAGCGGTTTGTGCTCTTTTCTGTATGTGGTTCTACAGCCGTTAGAGTTTAATTTTTTAAAAAGGGAATCAATAGCATGCAAGTCCCCTCTGAAAAAGTCAGTCTTGGGTTCCCCTAGGATTGTCCCTTGCTCCCTCATCTTTCTGGGAGCATGTGCGGCAGGCACACCACTCCTGTGAGTTTGATATTCTGGTGGTGGCATCCCTGGGACCTGGTGGCCAGTGTCAGGCTCAGGCTCAGGCTGTACTGCCTCCCTGGCTTACTCGGGGGGCCAGTGGGCAGCTGGAGAGGAGGAAAATGAGGGTGAGGAGGAGGAGAGCAGCTGGTAGATGAAAAGGAAACCCCTTTTGCTGCTCTCGTGACTGTAGAGGATGGACAAAAAGCCTGTGGAAGGGTAGCTGCATGAGTGGTGGAAGTTCTAGGATGCCGGGTACTGTTACAACAGTAATATCTACTACCACACTACTACTATTACTACTACTACTACTACTACTACTACTACTACTACTGTTACTAATAGTAGCTAACATTTCTTGAGCACATGCAAAGTGCCAGGCACTGTGCAAAGTACTCTGTATGCATTGCTCATTTTAACCTTTTAAGTATCTCTGCAGATAGTTTTTTTTAATGGGTTTATTTATTTATTTTTAAATTTTTTTTAATGTTTTTTATTTATTTCTAGGAGAGAGAGAGAGAGCGTGAGTAGGGGAGGGTCAGAAAGAGAGAGAGTCACAGACTGAAACAGGTTCCAGGCTCTGAGCTGGCAGTCAGCACAGAGCCCGACGTGGGGCGCGAACCCACGAACCGTGAGATCATGACCTAAGCGAAAGTTGGACGCTTAACTGACTAAGCCTCCCAGGTGCCCCGGTTTATTTATTTTTGAGACAGAGAATCATCACTTCTCGGCCTTTTGGCCAAGATCAAGTGTAGTATCTGTTCTTATCAGTTTAATATTTTCAAGACAGAGAGAGACAGAGCACAACCAGGGGAGGGGCAGAGAGAGAGGGAAACACAGAATCTGAAACAGGCTCCAGGCTCCAAGCTGGCAGCACAGAGCCCAACTTGGGGGTCCAACTCACAAACCGTGAGACCATGACCTGAGCCGAAGTTGGACGCTCAACTGACTGAATCCCTCAGGCTCCCCTGTAGGTAGTTTTTTGTATCCCGTGTGCATGCTGGAGGCTCATATACATACAGTAAGCACCTTGCCTGCAATATCCCACCAGCTCTTGCTTAATTGTGATGGTTCAGTTTGTACATTTGAGGACCTAGTGTGTGTTAGACCCTCTTGGGCATGGTATACAGTCTCTACAGTGTCTGAGCAGGTTCATAATTGGGTGCTTATCCAAACCAATATTCATTGTTTTTATATCTTATTTTGGGGGGTGCTCAAAATAGGCAAATGTATAAATAAAATTTTGTTTGTTTTGCTCTTTATTTTGATCTCTCTCTTTTGAAGATATTTATTTATTTTGAGAGAGAGACAGCACGAGCAAGCAAGGGAAGATCAGGGAGAGAGGTGCGGGGGGGGGGGGGGGGGGAGGGAGGGAGGGAGGGAGAGAGAGAGAGAGAGAGAGAGATTGAGAATCCCAAGCAGGCTCTGTGCTGATAGCCAGGCTCCTGATGCCAGGCTTGAACTCATGAAACATGAGATCATGACCTGATCTGAAACCATGAGCTGGACACTGAACTGACTGAGCCACCCAGGCACCCTTATGTTGACCTCTTTAGCAACTTATGTTCACTATTTTAAAATCAGACTAAATTAATAAGGAGGAAAAAGAATTGAAAAAAATCACATCTGGTCCCATAATCACAAAGCAGTTGCTAACATCAGAGCACAACCTTTTTAGATTTCTAAAAAATACATTCTTTAAAAAAATTCTTTTTAATGTTTATTTATTTTTGAGAGGGGGAGAGAGAGAGAGAGAGAGAGAGAGAGAGAGAGGAGACAGAGAGACAGAGAGACAGAGCCGAAGTTGGGTGCTTAACCGACTGAGCCACCCAGGCGCCCCTAAAATATACATTCTAATGTGCCCACCATGTAGGAGAAGCTGAAAGAAAATTTGTTAAATTCTTACAGGATCACACCATCGTATGGTTTGGTACACCGCAATGCCCAGTCCTCTGTGCTGCCATGACTCTATGTTCCGGGCCGGGAATGCTTGGCCACTTCTGAAATTTTCTTTCATCGCTGAGAGGGGAAAGGGTGTGAAATTTTTTTCACGTGTCTGAGGGACATTTGCATTTTTTCTATGAATTTCTGATTTATACCCTTTGCCTATTTTCCCCCCTTGGTTTCTTATTCTTTATGGTCATTTCTTTTTCAATTTATTTTTTTCAAAGTAATCCACGCACAAAATTTAAAAAGTCAAAGAGTATTGAGCACCTTACGATGAAATCCAGCCTGGTTCATTGGCCTTTCTTTTCTCCCTTGAGTTTACCAGAAATAACCCCTTCACCCCTGCCAGCTGTTTCTTTTGGTATTTATCACCGTATTTCTTCTTTTTTTTCAGTATTTAAACATTTTTTTATTGGTTTAAAATGTTGCAAAAAGAAATGTTTGTCATCAAATATTCACAAGTGCAGAGGTGTGTAAAGAAAAATTCAAAGCCTGGGGTGCCTGGGTGGCTCAGTCGGTTAAGCATCTGACTTTGGCTCAGGTCATGATCTCGCGGTTCGTGGATTTGAGTCCTGCATTGGGCTCTGTGCTGACAGCCAGCTCAGAGCCTGGAGCTTGCTTCAGTTTCTGCGTCTCCCTCTCTCTGTGCTCCTCCTCCACTCACTCATGCTCTGTCTCTCTCTCAAAAATAAATTTTAAAAAACATTAAAAAATTAAAAAAGAAATAAAGGGCCAGTGTCCCTATTCCAGCTGTTAAAAAAAAAAGGAAAAGAAAAATGTAAAGCCCTTCTCAGTGTCTTCAGTGCTACTGTCAGAGGTAACTTACATCAGAACTATGATTATATCCCCATGTTTTTTCTTTTTTTATTAATTCTTTTTTAAGTTTATTTAGTTAATTTTTTTTAGTGATCTCTGCAATTTTTTTTCAGTAATCTCTGCATTCAGTGTGGAGCTCGAACCCATGACCCTGAGATCAATGTCAATCGCATGCTCCTCTGACTGAGCTGATAAGGTGCCCCTATCTCACCATATTTCTAAATAATATTCTTATTCTGGTATTTCTTAATACACCAAATTTAGATTTTTTTTTTTAAGTGGGCACCACTCCCAGCACAGAGCCCAAAGTGGAGCTTGAGCTCATGACCTTGAGATCAAGACCTGAGCTGAGATCAAGAGTTGGATGCTTAGGGGCACCTGGGTGGCCCAGCTGGTTGAGTGTCCAACTTCAGCTCAAGTCATGATCTCATGGTTTGTGGGTTTGAGCCCCGCATCAGGTTCTGTGCTGACAGCTAGCTCAGAGCCTGGAGCCTGTTCGGGATTCTGTACCTCCCTCTCTCTCTGACCCTCCCCTGCTCACACTGTCTCTCTCTCAGACGTAAATAAAACACTAAAAAATTAAAAAAAAAAAGAGTTGGGTGCTTTACTGACTGAGCCATCTAAGCACCCCCAATTTTTGATTTTATCTATTAAATCCCTAGTCAGGTTCTAGCTGGGGGTTAGCTCTCTTGAGTCTTCACACTACATCCCTTCTCACTAAAACTCTATACTCACATCAGACTACGCCATGACTGTTCACGCTGAGCCGTGGAGCGTACTGTGAGTGCGTGTGTTTTCTTACTCAACTCTCTGATATTCCTAGAGATAGGACTTCTCAGGTCCTTTCAATGACCTTGGAGTTCATTGTACCTTTTGCCATTGCTTTTCACGCTCTTCAGATCCTTCTTAACACAGTTTTGCTCAAGGGCCAACTGATGAGACATTTTGTCAGTTCAGTGTTTTTGTCTCTCTGGAATCCTCTCCCGTTCTGCTTTAGTTGGGACAGGCAGCCTTGCTGGCCTGGTGCACAGCATCTTTCCACCTCTCTGTGGCATTGTGTCTCTCGTTCCCTAGATCCCACGAGTTCCCCTTTCTCGGTTCAGTCCGTCATGGTGGTGTCAATTACCCCCTTACCCTGCCTGAGACTGCTTGACAGAAGGAAAGGGAAGGACCCATTGGCAGCCTCAGCCTTTGCTCTGTCATTTCTGGCAATTCCGTTCTGGCTCTGGAGTTGCAGGAACGAAAAGCCCTGTTGATATGCCCTCCCCAGTCAGAAGCCTGTTCAGGGGCCGTCCCTCCGGAAGTCGCTCCCTGCTCCCACACGACTTACCATGCACACCTAAATGTGCCCTCTCTTTCCTGTTACCTTCTCAGTGATTTCTGGTGCCCATGATACAAAGGGGTCCTGGACACGGAATCCAGCACCTCAAATCCATCTGCCCGAAAGCTGAGTCACCTTCCTCCTTTCCCTTCTGCTCCTCACCCGGTGCTCTTGGCCTCCGCCCTGAGCAGTTCAGAGGCCTCCAGACCACTCTCCCAGTACCCGTGCTCTCATCTGCTGATCCACACTCCTGGTTATAGCAGAAGCCTTTCTGCAAAACCCAGCTCTGAGTTGCTTTGTTTGTAAAAGCCATGCACTTCGCCGCCCCCCCCCAACACCTTTGCATAGGCCTCTTGACCTGAAACCCCCCCCCAATCTCCACCTCCCCCCACCAACTCCCCTGCTGCATCTGATGAAGTTCATTTCTTCTTTCAAGACTCTGACAAGTATCTAAATCTCTAAGAAGCCTTCCACTCTCTCTTGTTGGAGAAGTTCTCCGGCCTGCTGTTGATACCGTGACCTACCCCGGATCACGTTGTGACTTCTCTTTTGTGCTCTGTACCGCTTTGTATAACACTTTCTTATAACCTCTGTCCTCATCTGCTGTGGGAGAAGAGAAAGAGGGGTCACATCACCCGGACCAGATCCTGTCACCAACTAGCTGAGCCACAGGTCCCCTTCCCTCTGCTCATCCAGCTGTACACACTCTTTATGGAGAAGAACTTGTCTTTGCTCAACGCCGATTATGTGCCATGCCCTGTGCTAAGAGTTTTACTTACAAAATATAATTATGTGCTGAACCCCAAAGCCCTTCAGCAACACCCTTCTGTGCATGTATGTTCGTTTTTGATAGTGTGGGCGGGGGACGGGATAAACAAGGACTTGGAAGAGGCACAATGCAATCAAGAGGATGTCTGTTCGTGCGGATTTGCTATATGTCACTTGGGCTCTCACCCCAACTTGGGGAATTCTTTTTATTTGAGTTTGTCGGGTGGCCAAGGGCAAGATACCTGTTTTCTCAGCTTCCTAGCGGCTGAATATCGCCACGTGACCTAGGATTGGCCAATCAGCTACCCCGGCTCTGGTCTTGGAGTCAGGATCTGGGAACAGAGAAGCAGGGATGAGGCAGAGTCATTCTAGGGGTGGGAAGTAGCCACATCCTGTTTCTGGGGAACAGCAGTGTCTGCAGGGCCAACAGTGCGGTCCAATGTTTGGTGTCCAGTGCTGATGTCAGTGGGGAGAGAAGAGTCATCTGGTGCTCCGTGGCGGGGCCAGTGGGTTCTCAAGAGGCCGGCTTTATGGTGTGGTTTTGGCAGCCACCCCTTCTATGGAGAAGTTCTCCAGCCTGCTGTTGATTCTGTGACCTACCCTGGATCATGTCGTGACTTCTCTTTTGTGTTTAACTCTGCCTGAATAATCTTCTGCCGTTTGCAGCTATGAAGACGACTCATGGCTAGAAGCTGGGCGAGGCTGCGGGCATGGTCAGCTGCAGTCATCCCACTGGGACGGGAGGGCTGGGAATCTCTGACCCTCCCAGTGGTGACAGTGGCCATGGTTATCCTTCCCACCTGATGGCCACTTGGGTCCTAAGCAAGCCCAACTCCTGTAAAGTTACAGAAGCCCTTGGGAATGCTCTTCGGAAGACCCAGCCTTGAAATAAACATGTTCTAGGCAGTGTCCCTCCATCATGAGAGCCATGCAGTTTTAAATTAAAAAATATACATATATATTTAATTTTAGAGAGTGAGAGAGAGTGTGTGAGTTGGGAAGAGGGACAGAAGGGGAGAGAGAGAATCCCAAGCAGGCTCCATGCTCAGCCT